ATGCTTTAATTATGTTCAATTTGTAACAATGAAAATACATCCTGCATATCAGATATTTATATTACAATTCATAACAGTAGTAAAATTACAGTTATAGAGTAGCAACGAAAATAATTTTATGGTTGGGGGTCACCACAACATGAGGAACTGTATTAAGGGGTCGTGGCATTAGGAAGGTTGAGATCCACTGGATTAGAGAATCCTAACCAGCTGGCAAATGTAGCGTCTCTGACAGGTCTTTCCAGCCAGGGCAGAGAAATTGATCCAATTCTCCCCCAACCTATAGGCTACAGCTTCTCTTCAACCCATGTGACACAGATGATCTCAGAGCTCACGCCTATGAGTGGAGGCACATCCAATCATGAGGAAGATGGGTAGGCCGCAGCGCTGGCCAGCCCACATTTCAGCAAGCATCCAAGGGGTGGCCCACCTGCTCCTACATCTGACCTGAGGACGGAGGTGTGCGAGAGGGTGCCTGTCCCATCTCTCCCACAGTGTGGAGGATAACAGGCCTTTCCACAAAAAGAGTAACCCTGGGGGAAGGCAGGGCCCCTTGGATGGACTAGAGACTCCAAGGACAAGCATCCTCAGCCTACAGAAGATACTGGAGCACTCTCACTGCCAAAGTACATCCAATCGAGCCAAGGGTCATGGCCAGCTGCTCTCTGCCCCACACATGCTCTGTCTGAACGCACTGACCCCAGCCTCCCTCCTAATTCTGAGCCTATCTTGAGCCTCACTGACTCCAAACGCCTTGCACCTGGGTTGCCTGCCATCGTCCAGGCATGGCTTCCGGGACATAAGGGTCCTGACTCTGGGTCCTTATGGCCACTCACCCAGTTAGTAGCCAGGAACAACCAAGACATGATCCCAGTGCACAGCTTTCTCATTTCATTTCTACCCTAATCCAAGCTGTGGAGGCTGGACTTTAGACCACATTTTGAAGGATAAAATAATCCATTAATGTGCAAAGAGGACTGGGAGTAGCAAGGCTAGTACACATTTTTTCCTTATGGGTATCAGAATGTGACACCTACTCCACGAGGGCGATACAGAGATAATCACAGGTTCTTATCAATACATAACATGATTGCAAGGAGTTTACACTTGCCTTCAGAGATTCCCCACTGGGAAACTGCAGAGAAAATTAGATTAAAGACAGAAGGGCTTCTGAGTGAAGGGACTTCATTTATTTTAAAGCATCACAAAGGAGCCCTCCAACTGCGCTGTATAGTACTCGTGTTCATGGGCAGATCATATTCTAAGAATTGGGACAAAAATCCTATAGCAAAATACAATCAGTTAAAATATAAGCTGAGTCACTCACAAAACTTTCAACGAAAACCACATTTTATATTTAGAATCAATGTCCTTAAAGTATTTTCGTACTCAAGTTGCTCACAAACAGCAAGAACAGCAAGCAAGCCACAAATGGTGCAACACTTTCTGCGGCAACAGTTTACTCTGCGATAATCTGTGAGCAGCGACCACCACAGAAAGAAGCCAACGCTGCAGCGGCTGCATTGCAGATTAGGGTCAGTCTCTCAATCTTTTTTCCTTAGGGAACCTGTACGAGCAGAACCTCACACGAGTGTTGCTATTTCCACAGATCAAGAACACAGTCCTTATATGCCAAGTGTAGTGAGTGAGCTCAAATTTTCAAAACGCTTATAAGTGTCCTAATGTATAACTGTTTATGCCCAGAAAAAGATGGTGAACAAGCAACTTGCAACTCAAAAATCCCAAAGGCTATCCTTCTCTTTCTTCCTTTCAACAACAAAAGATAAAATTCAGAGGAAGGACATACTCACTTATTTTTTCTGCTTTTGGCTCCTCATTATCTGCAAAAACAAAACAAAACAAAACGGTCTAAATCAGATTCACATGACAACTAAGAGAAAACGGGCTAATGGGAGAATAGGTAAAATGTTTGCCTTTCACCAATAGCAACCATTTCCTGTCTTTCTTCTTCAGCTCATCCTGTTTTGCCACTTCGCTTGCCAACTAGAAATTTATCGTATAAGTACTTTTCCAGTACTACACAAAGCCATGCTAGTAATTAATATGTCTTCAAACAATATAAGTGACGTGTGTATTACCTGAACATAAAAATAAAGGTTTATGTTTCACTTGAATTAAAGAAATAGACACATCTATTACTTACCAGAGTCACTTTCAGAATTGCTCTCAGAACTGCTGTCCTCTCCTAAATAAAAACATACGCCAGAAATACACAATGAATAAAACGCAGAAACTATTTTATTTCATTATCCGTATTATAAAATGGATCTAAATTCAACTAATTTCTTCTTTTAGTCAATTCTCAAGTCCAAAACTAGTCTGGTTTACATAAAAGGGGGACTCATTCTTCTTTGGAAATAAATAAAATAAACTTTAATCATTTTAATATGAGCTCAGATCACTCTGACTGCAATAATCATTTTATATGGGTGTCACCCAAGTCCTATCTGGCCTTGACCTGCCGCTACGGCCCCCATCTTGCCCCTGCACTTGTGCATCTAGAAGGTTCCAGGGCACAAGTTCAATGATACAACAGTGAACAGTTCTGGGGTGCAGGTGCCATTTCACTGAAGCACAGGACAAACTTAGTCCATGTTGCTCAACTACTACTGAAAAGAGTGGTCCTCAAGAATGCTCCCCGCACTCCCTCACTCCCAACTCAGCACCTCCACCCACTGCAATCCGGCTCCTGTTCTCACTAGTTCGGGATCCCTTCCCTCATGTCCCCAAAAGCCTGCTCACCCCCAGAGCCATGGCTCCCGCAGAGGCACACAGAAACCACTCCCTCCTGCCTGCACAGCCCTCCCCCGTAGTGCCCGCCTGGTTCTCCCCTCCTACCTCTGAGTGCCCTCCATTTGCCTCTAGGCTCCTCTCTACCACCAACCCCCAACTACTAACCCCCCAAGGCCCACTCCCCACCCCCAGCCTCCTTTCTACCTCTCGAGCCCCAGGGGGGCATTTCACCTACCCCCAAATCTGTGAGTCCAACCTCCACCTCCAGGGGCACCACGGACCTCTCCTGGCCACCACAGAAAAGGCCAGGCACACACTGCTAGGCCAAGTTCATCCCCGCCACCTGCCGTCCTCCATCGCTCCTCCTCCAGTTCTCCCTGTGCGGCCTCCCCCTCCACGCAGGGTCAGAAGTCAACGAGTACATACGTGGAAAGCTACCAGCATTATTCTCCAGTCCTCCCTCACTCGTATAACTTAGTGACAGCCAGAACCAAGAATTGGCAATAGTTCCATGGAGGAAGGAAAAGTTTTGAGAATAATGATGAGAACAATAATAATAATAGCAGCTAATGGGCTACTTGAAACTTTTTTTTGGAGTATTCACTATGTGCCAGGCACTGTAGTACCTGTATTTACTCATTTAGATGTATTTACTTATTTATATTTATTTACTCATTTTTTATATATACCTACATATTCTACATATACTTATGAAAGTGCTTGACATAGATTCACACATTAGTTCTCGCAACTGCCCAATAAGGTAAGCTGAGGTCAGTTCATTCGCTTATGTAGACACCACCACCACCACCAGCTCACCATCCTACCCCAGGAAGTCTGGAGCTAGGATTTCAACCTGGGCAGAATGGCCTGAGCTTGCAATGCTGTCATACTTCCAAGCGTGATTATCATGACTGAAGCTGTTCAACGCCCGGGAGATATGAACTGGTTGGGTGTGGGCGGAGACGGGGAGTAGGAGGAAGTTCCTGCAGGACAGGGTACAGGGGAGGCATTCCCTGTGTTTGAACAGTTGCTGGGAAATCAAGGTGATAAGACATGGCTTTGTCCTCTGGGGCTGGAAGCACAGAACAGTGGTTCTCAACCTTGGCTGCACACGGGAGTCACGGGCGAGGAGCTCTCTCATGCCTGGGGCTCTGCCCTTCCTTAGAGGTTCTGATTTAACTGGTCTGGGGTGGGGCCTAAGCAGCCGTATTGTTTTAACGTCCCCAAATGATTCCAATGTGGCCAGGTTGAAGAGCCACTGGACTACATCAGCCTACCGTAATCACACCCGTGTTCCCCCAACTCGTACCCCAGATGCCTGCCATTCCATCCTCTAAGCCAGCGGGTCTCAACCTTCCTGATGCCGCGACCCCTTAATACAGTTCCTCGTGTTGTGATGACCCCCAACCATGAAATTATTTCCGTTGCTACTCTGTAACTGTAATTTTGCTACTGTTATGAATCATAATGTAAATATCTGATAGGCAGGATGTATTTTCATTGCTACAAATTGAACATAATTAAAGCATAGTGATTAATCACAAAAACAATATGTACTTATATATTGTGAAATATTTATTTCTAATTACAAATAAATGAAATTTTGTCCTGAAGCCGGGTACTCATATGTGGGCGTATCTGCATGTAACCGGACCCGCCTGGAGATGGACAGAGGAGCGGTGTCTCGGTTCCTGAGACCATCGAAAATATGTGTTTTCTGATGGTCTTAGGCGACCCCTGTGAAAGGGTCATTCAACCCCCAAAGGGATCGTGACCCACAGGTTGAGAACCGCTGCTCTAAGCCTTTAGCAATGCCTTCCCACTGCCTGGAAATCCCCTCCCTAGACCCCACCTACAAAGCTAGGTATCCACTAAGACCCAGCCCAAATGTCACTTCTGCTGAAAATTTCCCTCCACCCCACCCAGTTTAATGTGCCTCCTTTGTCACCCTTTGTGGCATTTATCCGCTGCCAAATAGTGACTGCTTGTTTAGAGGCTGGTCTGTGAGCCCTGGAAGAATGAGGCCATGTCTTACCACCTTGATTCCCACACCCATCCCTACACAGCTGCTCAAGGAATGAATGCATATGTGGATCAATGAATGCTTTGTCCAACTTTAATGCACCAAGCAGACCCTACCATGGCCCCTGTTTATTTTGCTGGTTCCCTCTAAGAGTCTGTAATTCTGCCTGGACCAGCCCCTGATGAGGCCTCACCTTCTGCCCCAGGTCCCTGGAATATGGTTGTGACTCTGGGGCCACCTGTTCAGTACACCTGCCCGCTGGTTCTGGCCTTAGGACTCCTGGTTCTATCTCCGCTCCCTAAAGCTCCGGAACTATTTTTCCGCCTTATGGCACAAATTTGAGGACTAAATAAGATATCTGTAGAGTGACCAGCCCAGGGCCTTAAGAAGTGGTAGCTGTTTTTACTAATAGGTCATAATCACTCCTAAAGTTCTGTGACAGGCACTGGCCAACCCTGTTATTACAAAGCACTAAGCACCTTCCCACATTTGTGCAAGGGCGAGCTCAGGCAGCGGCGCCTTTGTTCTCTGATTCCACTGGTCTGACCTTCTTCAGTCTCCAGAAGCAAGCACCATATGTACGCTTTCCCACATCGGGGCCTTGACACCTGCAAGTCTCTTGAACTAAAGACAACTCTTTTCCTCATCTTTGCCCCGTTACCCCAATCTATCATCTCCTCAAGAGAGCCTCCCAGAACTACCGCAGCCAAGTGTCCACCCACTGGCTGGGCTTAAGAAGGACCTGTATGAGATTACTGTGGTTAGTCTAGAAAATGGCTTAATTGCCCCATCAGATAAATTCTGTTTCACTAAGCACAGCTTTATCACCCAATTTTTAAGTAGCTGATTACACTAGAATAGGTAATTATAAAACTTTAAAATTGATTCAACTCTTTTAAGTAGAAAGATGAAAGTCCCTACCTTTCACTCAGATTGTTTGAAGTAAATCAGAAAAATAAACTGTAATTTATCTTGCTAGGAATTGCTTATTTTGTAAAAATTTCACTTGGGCATTTACCAGTATTAATCATATCCCTTACCTGATTTAGAGTCCTTTGAAGTATCTAGGTTGGGGCTAGGGCAATCTAAATTTTGAGAAAGAAATAAAGTTTAAGAGTGTAAATACAAGCATAAAATAACATATTATGTTCTTTTCTGTAAAAGCCACTAAGCCAATAATAATAGAAACACCCTTTGTTATAAATTGAATCACCTTTTTAGACTTAAAGCAGCCTTGCATGTCAAACTAATATAAATGATGGCATACTGTCAGGGGAAAAAAGATTTAGACCAGGAAACATTAAGCCTTTTCCAGTAGAAGGAGAACAGAAAGCCAACAAACTTCGGAATTTCATTTGGTTGGTTCCCTGATAAACTCTCAATTTTGTGCCAAAGTAGCCGTATTGTTTCTTTGATTGATCAGCTCATCAGCTCCCTAAAAACATCCCAGGCAATTAAGTAACTTGATACCAGAAAGAAAAAAAGCACCTGGTTTTAGATTTTGTAACTGAATGGCAGACAACAGCATTCCTGTAATAAAGAATAAATGACTTTCCCCAGACAAACAACTGTCAACAGTTCGGTGAAGTGACACAAATGGGTTGAAGATACGGTCCTGAACTTGACAGATAAGGTGGGCCCAGACCAGGGAAGGCCTTGAATGCAATTAGGAAGAACTGGCATTCGTGATGGTTCTCCTACATGGAGACACAGAATGACAAGAGAGCTTCAAACTGGAATGGGCCTAGGTGTTCCCCAAGACGTTGGTGGCCATTGGAGGGCATTCATGTTCAGGACTGGTTAGACTCCGGAGAGCCTGACATAGAAAACACCGCAGCAGTCCAGCTATGAAGTGATGAGAGTCTAGGCCAGTGTGGGTGGCCATGGGAATGAAGATACTATAGATGAAGGAGAAGGGGTCTGCAGACATTACCAACAATGTTAAATAAAGCAAGAGCATTTCTGTGTATGGAAGCATTGCTCCACAGTTCTCATGCCCTCTGTCTGTATTGATGCCGTGCTCAACTAGACTGCCCCAGAGACCAGGGCCTAGGAGGCTTCCGTTTCTCTCATACTTAGAACATCCACCCACACTGGGCTGCTGAACCACAGGGGCTTAGCTAGTAGCTGACAAACTCCCCTGGGCTTGGGCAGTGACTACCGGCCCTTCAATTTTATGAACGCTGACTCAGTGTAGGCTGTGTGATGGGCACTCCGCAGAAATTAGGAGAAAACCCATGCCTCAGAAGACGGCTTATGGGTTAACCCAACTGCGAAGGCAAGAAGCAGCTGTGCATTAGACAGATGACATGACATATGCAATAAGAAATCAGGCCAGCAGTTTGCTGGTCCAAGAGAGAAACTGAGAACAGTCACTGAAGATGAGGAATTCAGCATGAGCTCATAAATTTGGCTGAGCTCAAACAAGTCTTGAAGGTAAAACGTGAAGGAAGAGAGAGGCATCTCAGGCAGACAGAAACAGAGGCAAAAGCAAAGCAAAGGGGTATGCTCACTGAGGGCGGGGGATTCAGCTCAGCACTGTGAAACAGGAAAACCCACCAGGTCTAACCAATCTTGACAGACACAGGACGTCCCCATATGCTGCACGTTCCAGCCAAGCTTTACAGAAGCCTTTATTAGATTTTAATTGTAACGCTTTATTAGGCAGGTTGTTATTCTGCACTGAAAAAAATGAACTATAAGAGGGATACAGAACTTGCAAAAGCAAGACAGTGGCCCAACAATGAGCTAAGGAGTTTCTAAGTCAGTCTGCACACAGTCAAGTGACACAGGTTAACGCCTAACATGGCCCCACAAACACCCTCCAGAATGGCTCTCACCCACACAGAGAGTGATAGAGCCCCTTAGGGGGCCCAAGTCCTTCTGATCGAGGCCCTCCCCCCCCCAAAAAAAAGAAATACGGCCCCCCACACATTTTACAAACTTTCAGAACAAGCAGCACAGGCAAAAAAGAGGATGCGACACTCAGTAGTCCCCACATCAAACCCAGACCTAGTTTATTCGTTTAACAAGAGTTTTGTTTTTGATCCCGATTTATGTGTGGCTATTTCCATTAAGTAAATAAAATTGATGATAGCACTCAAGTATTAAAGACAACAGCTAGTTATTATGCATGAAAAATTTATAGAATTCAGTTGATAATGCTTCTCTAAACTTACTTGATTGAATTTAAAATAAAGTTAAAAAGAACATTAAACCCAGAGGTTAAAAGGGGTAAGATACAGGAGCATTTACATTCTATTCTCAAGTTGTAAAAAGCTACAAAGGTCCAAATTCTTTCCATTTCACCTTTTTTAATATCTATTGAAAAACAGTCTTAAAATTCTTTTTAAAACGTCATTATCCCATCATCCTAACATAATGATTATTTTAATACATTTCTATTTCTGTCAGTGAATGAATGAAACAAAGCAACTGCAGCCAATAAGTAAAATTAATAAAGAAACCATTTTCTAAAACTGCAAATGTTTCAATATAGTATAGGTTGAGTTTTTTGATAACTCAACCTTGACTTAGGGTACCATACCTTTTTCTTCTGAAGAGGCACTGTGATCATCACTAGAACAAGAAAAAAAAAAGTTTTAGAAACTGATACTAATTTTATATATGACCTTCAAAAATGATATATTTCTCCAGAAATGCTGCAGATTAAAGAACTCTCTCCCTCCTCTATGCTCTTCCTGCCCCTCTCACTCTCCATGGCCTGACTCTGAACCACACAGATAAGTGGAGTTTACCAAGCACGCCCTGCCCTCCTTGTCCTGCCACCCCCGCAGGAGCCGCCGATACACCTTCAAGGGTTCACAGCGTTGCCAAGTCCAAGCGCAGCCATCCTGTAACACAATCCCCATCACCCGTCCTGCACTGGCCTCCAGCCCCTCCGCCTGGCTCCCTCTGAGAGCCTCCGGAGTCGCCTTCCTTCCTCTCCCAGGCCTTCTCACTCTGCTCCTCAGGCCTCAGATAGCTCCCCGTTAACTAACAGGCCCCTCCCTTAACCTATGTTCCAGCCTCACCACTGCCTGAACTGTCTCCGCCCTTCTCAAGCCAGTCTCCACATCCCCACTCCCCATTCTCTCCTAGACTCAAAGACACCTGGCTTCTGATCAAAACCCCTCTGGCTAGAGCCATCAATGACTCCTGCTGAGCAGACTGAATGGGTTTAGTGACTGCTTTCTCATTAGGTGAAACGGGTAACAGGCTCTTCCATGGCTTCCAGGCCCTGCTCACCTGGTCTGCTCCCACCTCCCACCACCGTGGCGGCAGCCTCTCCTCTCTCCACGTGCTCAATCCCTGGCTCCATCTGCTCCAGCCTCCTGGGGACTGACGTGACCGGGAATGCCGCCCTGCACCCTCCTCGTCCCCCTCCTCACAGCCTTGGCGCTCGGCCTTCTCGCCAGGGCTTCAAAGCCCTCTTCTCTACCTCTTGCTCGGGGCCTCCTTCCTGAATTCCGGGTGCCTAGTTACCTGGGGGTCACTTCAGCACTTAGCTAATCCCTGCTTTCCCTCTCCACGAAAACCTGCTCCTCCTGACCTGCCTTTGAAGAAAATCACATCACCGGGTCACCTAACTAGAACCTCCATGTCACCACCAGCTCCTGCTCCCTCTTCCTCATCAAGCAGCTAATCCAAGTCCTCCTGCCCTCCTCCTGTCGTCTCTCACATCCGTCCCTCCTCAGCAGACACTGTTTCTGCCTCAGGTCAAGCTGCTCTCCCCTCCCGTCCCCTCCCCTCTTCTCTCTCTCATTGGTTGGTTGATTATCTACCTGCCTGCCATCTCCCTCTCTTGGCTCATCTCTCACGTGACCATCACCATGGTCTCCTTATGTCTTTGCTTATACCCTTCTGCAGCTTCTCACTGCCTCCTGACTAAAGCTAAGTTCCTTGG